TTGGCGCACCCTATTTTGGTACTCTCTTTCCATACCAGTGCCGTGAAATGGCCGACCACACCACGATTAGCCTGGCCATGACCCGCGTAATCGTAATCCTTTTCTTCCGATGCCCTATAATAAGATAAATGAATACGGAGTCATTCACTAACTACGTACACGTGGATCAGTAGGTGAGCTACGTGAATAGATTAATAATTTTGTTTATATTCACTTTATGCACTTATATTAATGTGTGCGTGGTGTTATAGAGATTTTTAAATTAAATACGTAATAGTTTACAGTACCAATAATCCATAACGGCTGCGCATGAGTTAAAATCGACCGGGTTTATAACACCAGGCTGAGCCCCGTAACCCTGGGCAATATTCTCACCAGGGTCGCCCATTTTCCACGGCAAATGACCGGCATCGGCGACCGGACACCTATTCTTGGCGTAATTCACTAGCTATGGGGTGAAAATAAATCTTGTTAATATATTGTTGTTAATATTACCTTGGTGGCTTTATTAATTAATGTCATTTAAGATTAATATTCACAGAGTTTATAGTCACCAATATGTGCGGGTATAGTAGTTAATAATATACAATTTCTAACAACTCCTATATTCATCTATATCATGGGGTATATATTTAAGTACGTACGCTATTATCGAGGGCGTATGGGGGCGACTGGTGTTTGGCGCGTATTTGGTTGACCCGTTTGAGGCACTCGTCCAGCCAGGCCTGAGTGGTCTCAACGGGAACGGTAGTGCCTGTATTACTACCACTGCCAGTGCCCAGATTGTTACCACCACTCGGGAATCCCTCACTCCCTTGAAGTCCATTATTAGGGGAACTCCAGCCCCCTTGAGCTCCAGTATCAGGCCAAATCCAACCATCTTGAAATCCATTATTCTGGCCATTACCACCCCACGTCCACGTCCAACCCCCCTGACCAGATACCTGGTTCGAAATACCTGGTGATAAGCAAGGTTAAATTTATTTCTGTAAATAAATTTTGAAATTAAAACTTTATTATTTTTATACAATTACATAGTATTGCCAACAATGCAATTGCTTTGAACATTGTATAAGGCTTTTAAAATTAATTGATGTTTGTAATATAATTTTTTTAAACTTTATATTATTGGTTTAGTATTTAAGGTATTTGTCCTTGCTTATATACCTTTGTGTTAATAATTTCGACATAACTTGTGATACGTGTCATAAATTAGTTGATTTATCTCTAAATCTGTTGTTTTTTACTGGAAATCAATTTTTAACAATAAATCAGATTTTATTTTAATTTTATTTTTAATTTGTGTTCATTTATATAGAATTTATTTTTGAGTTTTATTTCTTGATAATTTATTTCAAAAATTAATTTACAAATAACATTCAAATATTAAATTTAGATACGTTTTAGTAAGAATTTATATAAATTCAGGATAAATTGCATATTAACGATTAGTAATACTTTAGTTATACCGAAGTAATATCAAAAATAATATTAAAACCACTTGAATTGTCACTTCCAATTTTATAAAATCTAATTATTTCTCTATAATTAAGTTAACCTTGAATATACTTTTACAGTTTATGTATGATTTGATATAATATTTAAAAATTATTTCATACTCGCCATTTAAATGAACCTAAATTAAATTAATATAATTTTCCAATATTTGTTCCAAAATTATTATTTCTATTCTGAATTTAATAACTAATACTAAAATAATATTAAATATAGTGAAGTTTTAGTAAGAATTTATATAATATTCAGGGTAGTTATAACTTTAGTTATAATAATATCAAAAATAATATTAAAACGACTCCCACTATCACTGCCAATTAAATAAAATATAATTATTTATCTATAATTAAGTTAATTTTAAATGTACTTTTACAGTTTATGTACGAGCTGATATAATATTCAAAAATTATTTCATGCTCGCCATTTAAAATCTCACTAAATAAATTTAAATTAAATTAACATAATATTTAAATGCTATTGTTAATAAAAGTTACTACTACTTTAATATAAATTTATAGTTTAGAAATTAATTTAATAAATTATAAGACCTCGGGGTCCCTGGGTCTGGGGGTACCTAAATGTCAATTGGCCCACCACACGGATTGACAAAATATTAGTTTATTACATTAAAAATAGTAAATTGTTTAATCATAATAAATCATAATAGCTCATATTTTTAAAATAATATATTCGATTCATTCATTATTGTCTTATTAATTATTTTTGAATTTAAAATTAGCTAATTTTACAAAAGACTAACTCTGGATGTCACCCAAAGGGTATAGATATCGCAATATTAATTTATACCACATTATTGTACACTATTTTGTGAGTTATTATCACTCATTAAAATCGGCGAATGGCCGGACACTTCTTCGGGAGAC